TAGGAGCATTTTCTAGCCATATTAACATGTGAATATGAGGTGATCCTCTTTGTTGATATTCAACCCTATAGAACCAGTCTGCAATTTTTCCTAAAGGTGCAGCACTACTTAAAAGAAAGTTTTGCAAAAACTTGTGTACTTGATAATCAAAATGCCTGGCACATGTCACAGGATCGCTCTGAATTAACCTACTTTTGTCCTACCAATTGAGGTTCTCAAGTTCAGTGTCAGTGTATGTTTTGTTATCAACAAGTTTACCAAGTATTCTCAGTAAATGAATCCATTGGGTTTCCGCTGAAGAAAAACTACAAAATAATGAAGCAGATCCTAACTGCCTGATCATTGCAAATATATCCTTTTTAGCTTTTTCAAAATATGGAGGTGAACCCCTTACAGCTCTAAGAAATTTAAATCCTTGATCCTGATGAATCATGTTATCTAATGCACCCGGTTGTTTTAGTTGATCGGCAGTGATTGTGTCACTATTTCGTTGACATTTTCTCAATGCAACTTGTGATTGCCCAAGCAAAATCTTCATTTGCAATTTCTTTGTTTTAAAGAAAATATTTTCTACACACATTGCAGACCTTCGGTCAGACCGTCTTAATTCAGATTTACAAATTTCACTATAATGGACTTTGGTTAGTCTATTTGTATTGTCTGGTTGCTTCTGTCCAATAAATATACCCGGATATGCTAATTCTTCTGAGTATTTATCTCTAAATATACTCATAGGCCTATTTCCCTAACCAGGTGCAACATTTAAAATATGCTGACGTTCATTATCAGTAACAAAATCTGGAGATGTTAACATAGTGTCAGTGATTCCAGCAGGTATTTCTGCCTCGTCTTCACTCCAGTGTTCATCATCATCATCACATGCAGATGATTGCTGGGTTTTACATTCTGCATTACAGGTCACAACGTTTTCTGAACCGTCTGAAGTTTGATCATTGTCACTATCATCAAATAGCATTTGAGTATTTGAATTATCTTCAAGCCAAGTGCCATTGAATGTTATACCTTCATCTTTATAAAGGTTACCATTATTTACAAGCCATTTGGCAGCTTCTGCTACTTTATTTGGTCTGACATTTAGTGATAAAGCAGAGCTTTTGTATTGCAATCTTCTCTTAAGGTTAACTTTAATTGTGCTGGTCTCATTTGGAAACCTTGGCAACATGTTAACAGTATTAACAACATCGGCTGGAACATTAACAATGTTTCCATTGATTTTTAGTTGTCTACCTCTAGGAGCTTGCATTAATTTTTGAAATGCAAGTCTTGGAGCAAGCAATCTGCACTCTAATTCATTTAGATCAAAAAACGAAAGTTTTTCTGGAAACTGCAGCCCATTTACGGCAGCACAAGGAGGCACCTTATTGTTTCTTAAATACTTATTACAGGTTTTACACAACCACTCCACATTATTAACACTTTTTTTATTTAACAATCTTTTTTGAACATCAGGATTATTTTCTTTAAGTGTTGTGACTGTAATGACACTATGCTTGTACCATGATTGGTCACAACAAGTGCAAATATAAAGAAGACCTTGTGAGACAATATCATGAAATTTCGATATTAAACATGGTAGTGGTTCAAACTCACAATGTTTTTGTTTCCTATATTCCATTGCATACAGTCTTTTCTTTTGCTTAGCCTCAATGCTTAGTGTTGAGGGCTGGGAACTCTCACTGGCCCGTTTACGCTTCATATATTCCTTTGCGTACAACCTTTTCTTTTGCTTAGCCTCAATGCTCAGCGTTGAGGGTTGGGAACTCTCACTGACCTGTTTTTGTTTCCTATATCCTTTGCATATAGCCTTTTCTTTTGCTTAGCCTCAATGCTCAGTGTTGAGGGTGGGAACTCCCACTGACCTGTTTTTGTTTCCTATATTCCTTTGCGTACAGCCTTTTCTTTTGTTTAGCCTCAATGTTCAGTGTTGAGGGTTGGGAACTCTCACTGGCCTGTTTACGTTTCCTATATTCTTTTGCATAAACTCTTCTCTTTTCCTTAGCCTCAGGGCTCTGTGTCTCATTAGCTCGTTTTTGTTTCATGTATTTGTTTATATACTGTGTTCTTGTTTGCTTAGCCTGAGAGCTCTGGGTTGACTGTTCGGGATATATCTCAACAAAATCTGACATTGAAGTACATGGCAATGTTGATACATAGTGATACTCATCTATATGACCCAAATAGACATGAGTTAGTTGCTGTGTTGATGATACAGGTTGTATTATACTGTACTCACGAAACCCTTCATGTGTCTCTGCAATAGTAATTTTTAACTTAAGCTGATCAGCCACAGCTTGTATTATCATAGAATCGCCCCATGTCCCTTGCATAGACATCTATTAAGGTATTCTAACCAAGAGATTTCAGTATTACTTCCAATGAATCTCTCAGGAATATCTCTCATATATGCAATACCAGCCATTCTAACTTCAAAGTGTCATTCAGGGTTACCATATAATTGATGTGACACAGCTCGAAAGAAACAGTCACCATCACCACCGACATCAAATGGTCTTAACTGAAAGCGTCTTAACCTTTGTTGCAACACTACATTTGATGACAACCTAGTTGGACTGTTGTTTTGAACAGGACCAGGATTTAATTCAATATCTCCTGACAACATTAGTGCCCTTTGAGATATGTGATATTGTTCATTGGCAATATTGCCTGCTATGCTTGGGCTGTAGAACATATTACACAATGATTGTTTTGTTGTATTCATGTTTATGTTGACACATGGCTTAAGATATCCAAATGAATTGATAAAAATATGTTGTATTTGCACAAATTGAAAACAACATTGCTTGAAACTACTAGCCATCTTGTTCAAAATGGATGACTTGTGGACATTTCTTACAAAAGAATGCTTTAAAAATGATCTATTTTTTCTCTTTCTCATAGCTAATATAATTCTCTTTAAAGGCAATCTGGACGGGGCACGGTCTCCAGATCGTTTAGCATTTGCTTGCTTAGTTAATTTCCGTAAAGTCGATCTGCAACTACATGCACAGTAACCTGAATTTATACACTTAATATAGCTACTATGAGTACGGTATAAATGTACAATGTTATATGTATTTGCTTGTTCTGGTCTCCGAAGAGATTGGTTCGGTCTCCGAAGAGATTGTTTTGATCTCCGAAGAGATTGTTTATTGAGTTTATTTGCTCTCCGAAGAGATTGTTTATTTGCTCTCCGAAGAGATTGTTTTGCTCTCCGAAGAGATTGTTTTGATCTCCGAAGAGATTGTTTTGATCTCCGAAGAGATTGACTACTTACCAGATCAAGATGAGGATAAATTTCCATGTTGATAGTAGAATGGCGAGAAAATATTAAGACAGCTTCGAAAATCCAAAATGGCGAGAAACATGAATAACACGAGGCCAGACCATGCCCGTTCGCAGGTTAGATGGAGGACACGATGTAACGTAATCGCTGATTGGCTTAAATTGGCTTACATTATAAAAGCTCGTCGCTGAATGGCTATCTGTTAACATACGGTACGGTACGGTAACAGTACGTTTGCGATGGCATATATATCTGCTTCGCAGATACAAAAACCTATAGCTTTCGATTCGTGGTATTTGAGCGCGGGTATTTACATATTTTGCCCCCAAAGTGTGCATTTTTTTCAGGAGAAAATAGCTAAGCAACAAACAATTGTATAAAAAACCATCACTATATAGCCGACAATTTAAAAATTTAAGAAAAAAAAATTCCGAAGACATCTTGAGAATACAATATATGGTTAAAAAAAGACGCAAGTTGAGACTGTCAATTTTCGACTTTATTTCAAAGTCATGTTCAGACAGAATGAAATCTGAAGATGACAGAATGAATTCTGTCTGAAGATGACTTTGAAATAAAGTCGAAAATTTACAGTCTCAACCTGCGTCTTGCCTTTGAATTACTGTATATTGTCTTGTCTTAATGTCTTAAGATTGTCTTGTCTTAATGTCTTTTCGGAATTTGTTTTTCTTTAAACAATTGTATACTGTCTATTTCGCCTTTTTGTTCTTTGTTTCCATCGTTACATTCCCCTTTTCCTCCATTATTTATCATGACGTGAAAATGCCGTATATATTTTTTATATTTTTCATGGATATATCGCGTACTTTTTTGTAGTTGTCGTTATAAGGCGTATCTGAATAAAGTAGAAATAAGCAATATTAATCTATTTTAAATCAAGAGTGATTTTCCGGAAAATTTTAAAAATTAGATTCCTGGAATAAAATTCATGTCCCAAATTTCTCGCCATGGATTAATTTACGCGAATTGAAAGTTTTGTTTTCCCCTCCCAGCCAATATTACTCTCTCGTCAGCTTAATCACCTCTTGTACGCGTTTTCGTCTGATCAATATATTATGTCGATCCGTATTTCACCTTCATATAGTCTTCGTGGTGCACGACAGATCTTCTACTGCATTTTCGTTTGGCCGATTTACATCGGCTGTTTTGCTATCCCCTTTTTACAATTGCGTTTCGCCGGCATATTAGCAAGTTTTTTTGTGTGGTTTCTCGCATGTACGGTTAGTGATAAACTGATAATGAGTGAATGACACTTAAAACCCTTTGAGTTAAATCAGAAGCGTTCTAATCTCGTGGCGCAAAGGCCGTCATATTTTCAAAAGCAACTCGTAGCAAGTACACTTTTTAAAGATGTAAAATTTTTGGCAAATCGTTAGCTACAGCAATGATTTATCATTATGCATGCAAAATTTGAAGGGGAAAACTAGAAAATTGAGCGCGCGGTGAGCATTTTCGTGAATTGGGTTTCCATCATGTGGAGTAACCTTAATCTAATATTATGACACTGACGAATGAGTTACGGAAACGAATAATGCTTACTAAGCAAATGTAAAGTTGTAAATTCGTAAAACCAACCAACTGGATAATAAATTTCAGATTACGTTAGACATCATATGCTATATTTCCTGTTCTGACCAATATCATAAATAATTAACATATAAAATATACTGTTTCTGAAACATTCCAAACCACGGCTATTTATATATTGGAAAATATCTCGATTACTTTACACCTGTTTCCGTATTACCTCAAGAGCTAACCAACCACTATTGATAGAACTAATTATTCGGGAAATGCCAGTCTGGAGTAAGATATCCTGGTGAAGACCAATCAAAAACTGAACTCTTGTAAATCTGGACTCAGGATCAGAATCTTGATAACTAAGAAATATCTCAGCTATAGGACGATGAGCAATTGCGTGAAAAATTTTAAGTCAATTCATAATATGATAAGAAGTAGTTTTTAGCAGATCCAATCGCATGAGGACATAGGTGAGAATATAACAGTGTTGTTTCTGTACTGACATATATTCCCGTCATTTCCCCTAAAACCTTCCCAAGGTTGCTGTAAAAGGCGCGGATTAAAACGTCGGTTCCTAAAATTCTCAATGGATTTCGATTTTCGAGTAAGCGACCGACGGAATGCCAAAGTAGATTGAAAAAGGTTGTATAGGTTCAATACTTTCCCTTGAAACAGACATTTATTATAAAGATTTAATGTTGGTTAGAACTGAATGTCAATTTTCAATCCATGGCTATTAAATTAACTCCAGTTTATTGTACGTGTCATGACTAATATCCGGTCCAAACAGTATGAAATGCTATAGCCTTCGCATAATTGCTCAAATCGTCTGGCATATTTTGATATAACAGTCGCTACGTATTGCTTTCGGCTGTATTCAAGAAATGGAATAAAATTTAGAAATCTACGGAATACATATAAAGCTTCAAGTCGGTATCTGAAAGGTTGCTGATACATTGTTATGGTAAGCATTTTCATTGTATTGGTAATCAACCGTGTCTGCATCGTTGTGACATAGCCCATAGCTATATGAACCTAATTATATTTGCCTTGCGTGCCTTTATAGGCAGTCCATATTTTTCCTATTTTGGACTGCCATTAAAACGTTCCGTTGCCTTGAAGTATCTTAAGTGGTATATCACTATATCGTGCATGGTTGTTAAATTAATCGGGAAATAAGTTCAAGATATATGGAATGTCATGAGAACCTCATAAAATTCTAGACGTTCGGCTTCCAGCATCGTGTGGTATTTATGATGTACCTTGATATTGCATCTAACATTTTATACTATATAAAATTGATTTTAAACATTCATAGCGAATTACAGCTGTATAGCAACGCTAGGTTTGATTTTTGTGTATATGAAAGAGTCATATACTTGTATGATAAATATCACGCGACACTGTATACATGCATGCAATGGTGTTAGTACAAAGGCCTATTCATTACGGATTAAACTGGGTATATTCAGCTAGTATATTCAGCTACCTTTGATTGCTAAATTTCATTCATATTGCATAATATATTCGATCAAATTGCCATATCGGGATAGCCGGCAAATATTTCATTATAATAATATGTGATTTGAGTTGCTTTTCTTCGCTATAGCCTATAACAAATTCCTTTGGTCGTAATATGCCATTGGCGTCTAGACGCAAATTTCGATGACATGACAATTTAACTTGACAACTGAATCTATCGTCAACATCAAGAGGTTAGAAAGGAACCCAGGCAGTTGCACATTTGGTGCAATGTATATATAGCTCTAAACTTAGGGATGTCTAGAATGTTTTGATTTGCAGCGGAATCGAATACCAATATGTATTTAAAACCGCAATCTGACAATCCACACAGTTAAATTAATTTAAAC